AATGGCTTAAAGGTTGAGTACCCTCCACAAAAATTTTTCTCTTGTAGTTATGGTTATAAAGTTCACCATTCAATTGGCCAATACATTAACTATTAGTGCAAAGTAATGATGGGATCCATCTATCCCCATTGTAAAAGGTAGGTAATAGCATCCATCTATCTCACCCTCAGCAACCGACTCCATCTATTGAAATTTATCCTATATTTTATATATGAAAATTGCTATTTGTACATCGGGGTTGACACTTCGGTGTACACTCCCCTTACATGAGGGGATGGGCCCTACGACAATAAAAAAAAATCTTGGGATTTCCCATGTGAGGGGAGTGTACGTCGGAGTGTCAGCTTCGGTATATGTATAGCAAAACTCTTTATATATAGAGATGCAATAAAAACTCGAACTGAAAAGAACCAGCACTCGGAGACCAAAAGTTAGACAGTTAAATTTGTGTGAATTTAGAGAATATGAAAATTATATTGAGAAAGGTCTAATTGGTAGGAAAGGAATAATTTATAATCTTTTTGTAGTCAAATACGACCAATCAATTGTATGAACATAAATTTGTCTATACAAGCAATTAAGAAGAATAATTCTGCTCACCCGAGTCTAAATCCCGGGATTGGAAACAGGTGCTGGGTGTTTTTTTTCTAAACCGTCCAATCAATTGCTGACACGTGGCATTTGGATCTGAACCCTATTTTTTATCCCGTGTGTGTAGCATTCTTGAATTAAGAACGAGTCTAATTTGTTGCTGAATTTATAATTGTGGCCACCAACATGAAGGTTGTTTTTATTGGATGGAACTATGGGTTTTAGTGGAACCCATCTGTATGCAAAAATTGACTTATAAATTATTAAAAATTGTGTGGATTCCATAGACTCCAGATAAATCCGGACCATTTTTGCGTCAGGTTCCCCATGTGATTTTTTTTTTTTTCCTTTTTTCTTTTCAAAGAAAAATCAAATCAGGCTATGACAGAATATTTAACTTTTATTGAAAATGAAAATTAAAGAAAATTCTCACAATAAATTAATTTTTAATGGAACATGGCCGATTAACTCTACTTTTTGCTGCTCCCATGATAAGTATCCAGAAATTAATAAAAATTTCTCACTTGGTCCTCAAACTCTTAACAAATCATAAAAATTACTAAATGACAAATAATAATAAAAACTAAAATAACTCAAACCTGGGATAATCAAACAAACGGAAAAACGAAAAAAGAAAAATGAAAAAAAGAAAAGAAAAGAAAAGGGTAACTTACATATTCCATTTTATGATCATTAAACCAAGTGTCCAAATCAAACAAATGGTTGTTGAATAGTTTATGAAATTTTAAAACTAGAAGCTTTAGAACTTGAAAATTTAAATTTCTTTATTGCAAAGATCCTCCAATCAAATCATGAAGAAAATTATTGAATGCAGAACATACTTTAATTTATTGAGAATAATTCCTTATTGGATCTTGATTTCAAATCTTGAACTATGAAGTGTTAACTGCAATTTTTTTCAAATTTGACTTCTACACTTTTAATCTTGAATTTTGTCTCATTTGATTCTTTAATTATTGTTCTTGGTTCTACTTCTTGATCTATAGTTTTGATTCCTAAATTTCTTCCTCTTGATTCTTGATTGTGAGTACTAATTTTTCTTCTTTAATATCTTTTCTCTTAATTATGTTTGTGTTAATGAGAGGCACAAAGAATGAGAAATCGCATTTGAATTAGGGATCATAACATTATTTATATTTCCATGTGTATTTTCGTCCATCAAGGAAACACAACCTTAATGGATCCAGTTATAATTCAGTCCACACTTTATATAGATGTCCAAAACTCAATTGCTTAATTCTTTATTAAACCACTTTAGCTAAATTTAAGATAATCCACAATTAATTATATAAGTAGGCCCGCATGACAAATTAGTAGTTTTCTCAACAATTATATCAATATAGGATCAAAGCGATTTTCATTACAAATATCATAACTAAATTCATCAATGATTACGTATATCAACACTATCAAATGAAATTGATCAAGTATGGATGTATAACATGTAAATTACATGCAGTGTGATCCAATCATGCATTATTTTCAATTGGTTCTACAATATTCTTTAATGAGATCAACCTTAAATTTTAATCAAAGGAAAACTGAACTAAATACTTTTATTTATGAATATCATCTAAAGGTCTAACACCCATACGAGCAGTATGTCATAAAAGACCTTAGGTGATAACTCTTTAGTAAGTGGATTTGCATTTATAGAGTTTGTCCTAATATGTTTCATAAAAACCTAAACACACTGAATTCTTTCATTCACAATGAGGAACTTAAAGTCTATAAACTTTGACATCGTCAAGCTTCTACGAAATATAAGACTGCTATTGTCATAAAATAACTTAAGTGGTCTTTCAATTCCATCCAAAATAAGCATCGCGGTGACAAAATTTCACAATCATATTCCACAATCATAATCAAAATATCCAATGATCTCCAATTAATCTGATTTTCTTGAATGTAATCATGTAATTCGTAGTTCTCTATAGATACCAAATAACCCAATTGATTGCTCTCCAAATATCAATCACACGCTTACTTAAACATCTGCCTAGCATTCCAAAAATGAATGCTATATTCGGATGTGTGCAAATCTAAATATATATTAAACTCCCAATTGTGGAAATACAGGGAATTTTCTATATTTTATTTTCTTTAAGTTTATCATTAGGGCATTGGTTGAGACTCGACCTATCTTCCTTAGCAATAGGGGTATCATTTGGTTTATATTCCTGCATTCCAAATTTTTTAAGAACCTTATCAATATAACTGTTTTGCAATAATTCAAAAATACCTCGAGAACAATCTCTCGGTATATATGTATCCTTGACATAAAATAGGCATCACCAGTATCTCTCATTTCAAAATTTCATAGCAGAATCTCTTGATTTCGGGCAATAAACTTATATCACTATAGGCAAGCATTATATTATCAACATACAATACCAAAAAAATATCTTTACTCCTATTGAACTTG